TTGTTGTTGTTGTGATTGTTTTGTGTGTTTTGCAGAAGCATTTTAACACAATTTGTGCTTCTAGTGTTTTGATCAAAATAAAAGCCGGGTATGAAAGGATTTCCCATTGACACGAGTATTGTAATTTAAAAATTAAAGTCATAAAAATGTAAGTGCATTGAGGGATGTTGTCTGGATTACTTTTGTCAATTGGGTTGTTTCATTTGTAGAGTAATGCTGATGTTCCCTCAAAAGCTGGTAAATTCTAAGGAATGTATTTCTGATCATGTTTGCCATTTGGTATTCCAGCTGCTTCAAACATACCTTTTTTTGTACGAGTGTCTTTGATTGATGAACTTAAACGGTCATGGTTTTAAACCATTTCTCCTGAGATCTCAGTATTGATTTTCTGCTATTTTACACGCATTTTTATTGTTAGCTTTAAAATTGTCATCAAATCAGACCTAATCCTCAGTATACTGATGTCATAAGGGTGAACACTTATCAGTCATTGATGAGTGTTGCAATTAAGATCCACTAGTTAGAGAAGGCTTACAAAGTGCAGAACATTTTAGCAGGCTTATTAAATCACAGAAACCCTCTTAATCCTTTGCCCCATAGAGTGACTAATATCTGATTTCTCGTCGCAATATCAACTCTGATTCAAACATTGAGGTCAGGAGAATAAAGAAAATGATCAGCGACCTCAGTATTTTACCTGGCCAAATCGGTAAAAGAGCATGAAAATTACAAGTACCGTTGGGCAAAAGACACGGCGATTTATTTGAGGAAGTCTGACGACTTAAGAGCTATTAAACTCGCATCATTTCAAGACACCGAAGCGTAGCGGAAATCAAGAGACGATGTAGCATCTAGGTAAAGTTAAAGTATTTAATGTTCATTTTGTTTATTATCATTACTCGGCGTTTCTATCAAAATTGAACTAGTCATCAAATGACCGGTAACAAACGCGAAACTTCCTTAGCTAAAAGTCTCCTGAAGGAACTGCCTTATTTTAACTTTACTGTTATGCTACACGGCCAGTTTAATAATAGTGTTCAGACCTCTAAACCAACTAGTAATCATCTTAACAAGTTAACTAGTTTGTATGATCTAAGCTTGTTTAACCTTGACTCAAATTTAGATGTAAACATTAATACTCTTGTGAATTTGTCAGATCTTCAAATTCATAGCCGATACTTCTCTCCTCAGAGTTTTGTGCAGACGATCTCAAAAATCCCTCAAAATGCGCTTTTGTCACGTTTTTCGATTTTTCATAATAATGTTGTCAGCCTTAAAAGGAAATCTAGAAAACTTTCAAACACATATCCTAGGAGAACTTGAATTTCATTTCGACGTACTTGGGATTTCTGAAACCAAAATTACCAATTCAAATGTAGATATTTCTACACCATTAGTTTCAGGGTATAATTTTGAATTTGTTTCAACACCTTTGGCCTCGAGAGGTTTTGTTATGTTCATTGATGAAAAACATAACTATAAAGTTCTTGAAAAAACGTCTAACACAGCATTTCAAGCTTTATGGATAGAAATTTCTCTTACAAAGAAAAAGAATGTAATTTGTGGTATCGAAGCCTCCAGAAGCGGGTGAGTAACTGATTGCCATTTTTTTGGCTACGTACATCATGTCAAGATGGTATTTCTAGATTGGCTAATTGCGTGATGATCTAGAGACTTGTCAATCAATACTGTGGACTGCTTAGAATTATAAGGTGAATGCAGAGTCGATTACTGCTCAGAATTAGCGGGATTTTGCTAAGAATAGCAGAGACCAAGTATGAACAGGAAGGTACCAAAATGGTAGTGTTTACTCGCCAGCCTACATTGTGCAATCAACATGTTTTTATTATTATTATTATTATTGTTTAGCACTTACAGAGGCGAAGAGAATGTGAATAATTGATAGCTTTTTATTCTGAACGAAAACATGTTAACTTTAGAGATTAGACGAATTTAACAAAAACTGAATGAAATTGTAAATCGCTTTGGAATACTTTCTCAACAGTTTGGCAATGAAGATTCTGTCCGCTTACTCGGCAGCGCGGTCCTGTTTTGCCCGGCGGCTGTACGGGGCGATCTGGTAACGAGCACTATGGAATGTGCAGGGACTGGTACTGTCATTGCATTGCACAAGGTAAGGACACGTGATCTTGATTTAAAAAATCAGACACGATGTGGTAAAAACGCCCAATACGTTTGACATCAATGTCACTTCCGCCATAAACTGTGTCAAGTCGGTAAGAGAAAATTGTGCCAACCTGACCAGGAATTTAGCTGCAAATGCTTTCACCGGATAAATGTTGGAACTGTTTTTCACCATTGCATACAACTGTCTGGTGAAACAAAGCTGCGAATGTAATTTTAAGATCGTAATGGACTTAGGCAGTGTGGAAGTGTCTGGAGACGCCTAACCTTAAAACAAGAAATATATCTTTTTGAAAAATAAATTATTGAAATAGAGCAACAATAATATCCATTAGATTTTCAAGAGGCAAACTTACGAAAAAATTCCACGATTTGATAACCCGCGATTAGTTAATGTCATATGAATAAGGAATCTTACGTTTTTATTCACTCAGTCTTGGAAATTTAAAAGGGTTCTGCCTCATTTCAATCGTCATTTTAATATTTGATGCTGAAATTTCTCCATTAAATTCTAATTGTACTTTAAGACTAACCATATGGATGTAAAACAACTCAAGTTTAAAGCGAATCGAAACGTCAGCTTTTGTAATCGTTACGGTGGCCAATTTACCATTTAAACTTTGTTGTTATATCCAAATTATTAAAGCGAATCTATGTACGCTTGCGAGTAACAAGTAAACATTGAGTCGATTGTTAGACGTACAACATACCTTGATGTTCTTTTAAGATTAAACTGGTTGAACACCAGATAGATGCGAGATTTCAGAACTTAAATATCTTAGCTGGTGGCTAGGGACTATTGCATCCTCTGTTAAACGAAAGTTTCTCCTTGGACGCTTCAGAAATATCGACGAATAATTTTCATGGCTTAAGATGAAGGATTTCCAGGGAAAATCATACGCAGATGTATTAGTGTTTCGTTTATCCTGTTACACAAAAAGACTAATGACGTATTTCCTTTACGGGGATAATAGTTCTTTTACGTATGTTGCACGATCCTCGCAGTAGATAGCGCTATTTAAGCAACAGCGAAAATCAGACCTGAAAAAAATCAGGCCTGTACGGGATTCGAACCACTGACCTCTGCGATACTAGTGCAGCGCTCTACCAATTGAGCTAAAAAGCCAACTGGGAGCAGGCCGTTAAGTTGATTCGTAATAAACCCGTGAAAGTGATAAATCAGATACAATGAAATATATGAAGTTCATATATTTTGAACTGCGGTATTAGATACGTATGATGCACGATCCTCGCAGTAGATAGCGCTATTTAAGCAATAGCGAAAATCAGACCTGAAAAAAATCAGGCCTGTACGGGATTCGAACCACTGACCTCTGCGATACTAGTGCAGCGCTCTACCAATTGAGCTAACAAGCCAACTGGGAGCAGGCCGTTAAGTTGATTCGTAATAAACCCGTGAAAGTGATAAATCAGATACAATGAAATATATGAAGTTCATATATTTTGAACTGCGGTATTAGATACGTATGATGCACGAACGTATGAAGATATATTTGATTGTATCTGATTTATCACTTTCACGGGTTTATTACGAATCAACTTAACGGCCTGCTCCCAGTTGGCTTTTTAGCTCAATTGGTAGAGCGCTGCACTAGTATCGCAGAGGTCAGTGGTTCGAATCCCGTACAGGCCTGATTTTTTTCAGGTCTGATTTTCGCTATTGCTTAAATAGCGCTATCTACTGCGAGGATCGTGCATCATACGTATCTAATACCGCAGTTCAAAATATATGAACTTCATATATTTGATTGTATCTAATAGTTCTTTTCTTTCATCCCGTGAAAACAAAGCCATGTTGGCGATGCTTTCTTCAGTTTTTACGGAAAACGGCTAAAGCTTGAATTCCATTTACATCATCACTAAGCTTCATACTCAGACGAACCACCATCTGTTGTAATCATGAAAAATAATATGTTATATCGCGCCAGGGCCGGAATATCCAGGAATCGGTAGTCAGAATTATAAAAACTTGCATGAAGCAAATTGAACAGAAAGAAATCAGTTCAAATAAAATGTAGAAAGATTTGTCTGGGTTTAGGATAGAACTCACTTGTCAGGCAGTGAATTTTTATAAGGTTTTTTCTTCAGTTAAATTGGTGCTTGTCTGGTCTCTGGATATGAAGGAAAAGAACACATGGTTCTCTTTCTACTAACAGGATTATTGAACTCGAGTACGTTTCCTTTTCTAAGGGAGGGTTTCAGTGATACTTTGCAAAATTTGATATCAGTAAGGTTTTACGGTTGAGTGTTTAGAACTGAAATTCAAAGTTTCACATGAGCTTCGCTTCTGATTGGCTCTGGTAGAAGTACGAAAATCCTGGACCAATCACAAATTAATTAATTGGCAGACCAGTCATTTTAGAATACACACTTTACCCATTTCTAAATCGCACAATAAAATGCGACCATCAGGTGCTGTAGTTAAAGCCGTGGGATATTGCAGCTTACAAACAGTTTTGCCAGTGAACCGACCTTCCATTGTGAACTGCTGAATGCGACCATTACTTCCGTCACAGACAAGAAGATTCTGTTGATTGCCATACTTCTCGACACACAAACCCCACGGAGAGTACAACAGTCCATCAGCGTCGCCCTTCGCTCCAATCTTGTTCAAAAACTTCCCTGAACTGTCGAACACTTTCAAACAGTTGTTCCAGGAGTCAGAGACGATGAACCTGCCTCTATGAGAGACACACCCAAAAGGATGATCGAGCTTTCCTGGTCCACTGTCTCCAAATCTTAACACAGGCTCACCATCTTGTGTCAAGACCTGGATTCTGTTGTTGAGGCAGTCGGCCACGATAACATGTCCTTCGCCATCCATACAAACGCTAACTGGGTTTTTAAACTCTCCTTCTCCTATCCCTTCCTCTCCAAAGCTTTGTGAAAAAGTGCCTGTTGACAGAATGAAATATTAAGCTCACTGGCTATTTCAAGATCTACTCTATCTTCAATTACGCAGGTAATTTAATGCCCCTTAATATACTATAAGACTTATTAACTTGACGAAAATGTTGACCGTCAAATGCGACCCTAAAAAATCCATGGCTACAATTGTCTCGGACATGTTTTTAGACAAACATTGTCCTCAATATATCCCACAAAATTTCAAATTGTTTGTCCAAGTGCGACTCGGGCCTTACATCATAGAGGAGCTGTAAGGGGGTTTTCTGTGAAACGTGATTGCCTGTTTTTAATTGCCGTGACTCGTGACTGTATAAAGTTAAAAGCCGTGAACTGGGAACGATATGCCAGTCGTGATAGTGAAACAAAAAAATTATTCTCCATTGTTCGTGATAACTGAAAAGAAAACGCAGTTTCTTTCCTTAAAAAATTACTCGCCGAAGACTTACGCCAACGAAGCAACGCGAATCTCTCCGGGCGTTCTTATTAACGTGACCTACTTATTTTAGATCTTGCGTGACAACTGATAAGGGTATGAATCAGTTTAGTTCTTTGATCATCTTCTTACAAAGAAGAAAAACATTGCCATGAAATGAGGGAGAAATTCAAGATGTTAAGGTTTTCAAAAATGCAAGATCTTTTTTCACTATCATGTTATTTACCGTAAAGCGTGAAACGAGAATTTACCGTGACGTCGTGAATCGTGCGAAGGACTCCCCCCCCCTCCCCTTCCCTTACAGGCCCTCATCGTAGGCAGACATTGCAAGCACACATACTTTGTATCGTGTTCAAAGCTTCCGCCGCTTTATTTGGAGACAAAATCTTTGCACCTACCTCTCTGAACATTGAACTGTTGAATGCGGTGATTTAGTTGGTCTGCCACCAGAATCTCGTCATCATTCAGGAATGTTACTCCAACTGGACTGCTCATTTGTCCAGGATTCTTTCCGTAGCAGCCGAGTGTCCTCAGGAAATCTCCTTTCTCGCTGAATATAAAAATACAGTGTCTGTGGATATCGGCCACAGCGATGAGCCCCTGACTGTTGACAGCAATTCCAATCGGCTGTCTAGGAATATCTCCCTTCAAATCAAATTTACTCACGATATCAATCCGTCGCTCTTCCGCTTGGACAGTGAAATGACTGTCAACAAGTTTATCGCTGTTGATGAAGATGTCGTAGGTGCCTGGAACCACAGGAATAAACTTGACGTGAACATTTCCATCGTCTCCTTCAAAAATACCGACGTTTTGCACTTTTTCAGCGGGTTCCAAGCACACTTCCACGTGAAATTCTTGTTTTGGGGTACCCTGCACGGGATGGACCACGACATCTGCTTCTAAACCAGCTTGAACATTTAAATTTTCGGTCGACAACTCCATCTGATTGACTTGAATGGAACGCTCTTCTGTATCTCTGCTTTTTATCGCGCCTATTGATAAAATTTTACATTACAGTCGTTATTTGAAGAGATGAAAATGCTGTTTATGTGACCAAAGGGAATCGTCATGGTCTGATCATAAGGTGACAGCATCGTCTTTATGATAATCACGTGGTGCCTAGATCACAGGGGTCTTACTTGTCAATTTTCCGCTGACGGACACTTTCGTAAGCGGAGAGGTCGCCCGTACTGACACTTTTTTAAATCGTCTTTCTCACCTTCCGATCAAACTTTGTATTTACACATTCCCGTAAGCGGATACTCTCTCGTAAGGGGACGTGGACAGTTTTGAAGGAAAAAATTGGATTTTTCTTTCGGTTACGCTCGCTGGTTATCGCGTAAGCGGACATCCCATGCAAAATAAATCTCGGTAATGAAATTTGCCTTAAAATGTGCAACTAAACAAAGACATGACCTGTGACAGAGCAACAGAACAATGGGGATCGGTTTTGTCAAATCTCCATTTGTCCGCGGGAAAGCAAGCTGTCCGGCGTTCGTTTGACATTTTTAAACAAGAGTCCCACATAACATTTGTAGTGTCACGTTATGGCCACGTTCGTCATGGTCTGATTTCCCTCTTGTTTCTTGCGTAAGCTGACATCCACACTAATTTTCTGTGATTTTCACTTATGGAAATGATGTTTTGCGGGCGGACAGCTCAACTAACGGACACTTTTTCCAATTTATGCGTGTGTCTGCTTACGAGAGAGATCTGCAATACATTTGATCGTTGATACAAACGATTGCCTTACGCGGTGATCAAATTCTAATCTGCTAAATGCTGCGACCAAGACCCTTTCCGTACGAAGTACCACGTTTTGAAAAAAAGAGACAAGGAGTTACGTAACAACAACGAATCTCCTTCTTTCAAAGCTGCAAATCTTCTGGTGATCTTCCGAACTTTCGAGGTCACGTAAGCTCAAAATTTGCGGATCAGCAGATCGCAGAACCTGTGCAACCGGCGGAACCCATACTTTTTGTAAAACAAAGAAACAATGTAAAATAGAAATATAATTTCAAATGCTCGTTTACGTGTCAAAAGAAGTTTCATTTAAAAGAGAAATGTGTTTCTAACGCCCTTGACATGCTACAAAAAATTATCGGGGCGGTGTTCATTAGTAACTTTAATTTGAAAGCTCCAACGGTTTGGCGATATCAGTATTACGCCTCATACGAAGGCTATCAGTGAACCTTTAATTCCAATTCATTGTACATGACTCCCAAATGAGGAACTCGAATCACCTGTAATGCATGGGGAATAGCGCGTTAATTTCGGGATGATCGGAGTGTGCGAAGCAAATTTACAGCGTTTTGTTTCAATTGGTTGAGTTGGCGTTTACTCACAGACCTACCTTGGGGAAGGATTACTAACTGGAGGTTCTGCAGTCTACTGCTGCAAGTACACGGTTTAGTCACCCCAATATTCGCAAGATTGCCACCGACTACTGAAGACCTTCAGGGTGTCTTCCGGAAAATCGTTCGTAGGCGCGTCGCTTGAAAAGTATATTATTCTTTTACGCTGTGGTTGTCCCATGTGCGCTCTTTCATCTCGTCCTATTTAGTTGAAAAATTTTTGCACTTTTCAACACTCGTTAGTGGTCATTTGATAAATGCTTTATCATATTGACGAAGTTTTGTCGGGATGGATGGGAAAGTATTTGGCTGTCGGTCATGACGCACGGACTGAGCGCATACGATTATTTGAAATATCGCAAAAAAGTCGCAGACAAAACATGAAACTTATTTCATTTCTTTTTTAGGTTAAACGCTGCGGGGTGGAAACAAGTAAATGCTTGGAGTTCCTAGTGATCTGATAAAAGGTAAAAAATATGTTCTGAAAAGATTCGATTCTCGATAACTGAGAGGCAAAAATTTTTCTGCAGTTGGAAAAAGTAGTTGAAGAGACTGGAAAGGAAGTCTCCTTACGAAGGACCTTACGAAGGACCTTAGCATACGGTTCTCAATATGGCACTGGGGTGTTTTGTCTTACTAAGGCAGGAGAACATCAAATTGGCCGGGTCCTTGAAAAGGACCAAGCTATTCATGTTAGGAGAAATGCGATTTGCAAAACTTCCATGCCAAAATTGACACTACAAGTGCTAAAAATTTGGGCGACAAGTTTTGCAAGATAATAATTTTTAGAACTAATGAAGCTTTATGAAATAATAAATACCAACAAATAATCTTGATTAATTTTAATGAATTATTTTGTGAAAAATTTATTGATATTTTTATGTTTATATTATGAAACCGCCGCTTGGTTAGATAAAGTGGTAGAGCGCCGGACTGGCGTACGGGAGATCGAAGGTTCGAGCCCTAACTGAGGACAATGTGCTACCTTTCTATTGTATTAAGAAATGGATAGAAATTCTAGTCTTCTCGTATAAGGACGAAAAAAATCGTAGGCCCCTTCTCCTGCATCTTCTCCATACTGGTTAGCAGGGAACGTTAAAGAACCCACACACTTTCGCAGAGGGTAGGGAACGTAGCTGCCGGTGTTGTGTGGTCTGGCCTGTTTACTAAAATTGGGGTGAGGGAAGGGAAAGGGAAAGGTAATTTACCCAGTAGGGGACAACCTTGTCCTATTGTAAATTTGCCTGCCTTTGGCAAGTTGTTAAATACTACTACAAATATGTAAATTACGGCTCATTTCTTGAATTTAAAATTAATGTCACTATGTGCATATTTTTTAATAGGTTTTTTTTATGATAGTTTTTATTTTGATATCATTACTCTAGGCCCATAACCCTGGCTCTTTATTCCCTAGCTTCGACGATATATTTAAAAAATAACTGTGGTTGCATTTTTTGTTAAATTGGTTTGAAATCTGGATGTTTTAGACGGGGGTGACTTAATGTGGATTAAAAAAGTAAACAAAATGACTATTATGTTTATTGCAAGGGATTCTGTAGATATTTTTAGAGTTTTGGAGAGACTGTTGCTAACTTTGGTTTTATCCCTTTGGTTGAATATAATTGCCTTGAGTCGCTTTAAGTCGCCTTAAATCGCCTTAATTCGCCATATTTTTTCTGCCAATTTTTCTTAAGTCGCCTTAAATCGCCCAGAACTACAGCGACGTTACGTCACAGCATAGGCTAAACAGTAAAGCCCGAGTTTCGGCTCCTAAAATTTTACGAGCTTGTTACACCTCACCAAAGCATTTTTCAACACGGCATACCGCCGACCAAATATTATGAGACACCTTGGGACCCCCAAGGCTCAAATCGAATTATTGATAGGAATAGGGTCCAAGAGGAAAGATCCTGAGAATGGAATAGCGAAATAGGAAACGAAGCGCTCCGTCTCCTCTTTCCACTGAAGTCATTTCATTTATTCCCAGACTCTTGCTTTAAAATTTACCGATGCTGGTGGTCTTATTGTCGCGAAAAAGAAAAAAAAAAATTTTTCTACAAACAAAATATGCAAATAATTGTAATTGGTGCCCCGAATACAGTTTCCTACGAAAAAGTAGTGAAGCAGCTAAAAGTTTAATAGCTATAACTAAGTAACTTTTCCCAAAATAAACCGTGTTTCCTCGATATCTTGCCACCATTTAATGGTTTTAGGTTATTTTCGCGTACAAATATAGATAAATGTTTCAGCAAAAGAATGAGCGAAAAAATTATTCGCAAAATTTCGCTACTGAAGGCATACAGGCCTTCATTTCAACTCACCTTAAGCTGTAAGTAAGAACACTGAGACTCCGGCGTGAACTACTAAGATGCAAGAATGAAGCTCTTTTCAATCAGTTAGCACATACTTCGAATAGGATTTCAAATGACGCATGACGTGTTGCATGTGTGATGTGCAACGCGCACTTCGCGACGCGCGCTTGCGCACTAAGTACTGAGAAACTAGTGAGGCCAACAGGCCCTTGTTGGCTGCTGCCGTGGAGTTTCACAAGACACGCTCAATTCTGCGATATTATAAGCACCTAAAGGATTAAGATTTAACTCATATTCATAAACAAATTTAAAACTGGTTTGTGTCCGTTTGTGTCAGTTTCAGACAAATACAAAATATTTTAATATTATTGTGTTAAAACACAACATGGGAACGTTCACTCGGGCAAGCAATCTACATATGCAAAATAAAAAGCCAAAGCCAAAGCTCTTTGCGGTGAACCTTGGTAGGTAATGGTAGGTACTGACTGCTACAGATTAGCCTCAGGAATCATCCTATTTTGATTATTTGGAACCATTGCATGACGGTGACATGTTTTGGTATCGGCTAGCCACGTGGCCACAAGACACCCAAAAAAACTTGGACAACATTAATTAGCAACTACATGAATTATGCACTCGAAACTTCGTTCAGCGCAAATCATCCTTGCAAGAAGGTGGAAACCGGCCAAAGACTCTGTGCCTATTCCGTTTGGAATAGCTCTAAACCGCTGTTAATTTCGATAATGTTGCCTCTCCCAGTGAGATATTGCATTATTTTCTCTTGACGTTCTGAACCTGTACTGATAGACTTAGAAGTTATTGCCTTCTCTTCCTTTCAATTTCCTTCTCCGTCCTTTCCCAATTTTCAAGAGGAAAGCAATTCTCCGGAGTTTGAGCGCACTAACAGTGCGCCTCTTACAGCGATAAAGTAGGAAACCAAATCAATAAAAAATGGGAAAAGTTGTAACGATCAAAAATGTATTTTATTACAAAACTTTTCAAAGTGAGATTACAAAAACCAATATTCCCGACAAGGCCACTATCACGCTACTTGTACCAAAATGCCATATTTACATCGTTTGTTATCTATTTTCCATTGTTTTTCTTTAGGATTGTACAAGGGGCTTCAAGAAGTTACGTCACAGCTTGTGCAGCTCAAAAGTTTAGCCTCAAGGTTCAAAACTTGTCCGGCATTTGCAGTCATTGCAAATCTTCATCATTCTTGATCACCATCTTTCCTGATTGGTTTTCTTCACATTTGGTGTTTTTTTCTCTTACCAAACCAATAGTTTTCTGGTTTCTTTTTTTTTTTTCCAAAACTTCGTTCCCAGCCTCGTAAAACACCTTGTAAAAAAGCTAAACGTATTTTGACGTAGCTTCGGTAAGCAATCACAACGGCATCTAAACATTTACAAACCTACATCAAACCTGGAGATTCAGTGAGTGGCCACATTCTTTTTATGTCTCATGAATTCAGGCCCCTTCTTAGCTGATCATGCAATGCCAGTATATAATTCAAATTTGAAAAAAAAAAACGCGTTTTTATTAGGGGCTCACATCTTCAAAAAAATGGTTGAATGTATTGATTTAGTTTCGCATTTGTAAAGCCATTTTTCGATCTCGTTTAATATTTTTATGTTTGTGTTTTCCTTTATCCGGTTCAAATATTTATAATTGAAAAATGAAAAAGAAAATCCGACTTCGTCGTGGAAAGAAAACCTGTTGAGTTTCGCCGCACTGTTTCAGTGCCTCGTTCATTTTCCCTTCTACAATCGACTCACCTTGTCAAACTACTGCTATTTACATTTACATTTACATATACTCTTATTTCAACCGATCTCCCAGTGTAAGAAAACATGAAATGGAAGACAATATAACTTAATTAAAGACTTTGTCGGAACACAAGCTAAACAATTTTTAAATGGGTCTAATTACGAAACAGCTTTCTGTGAATTTTTAGGCGACCTTAGTTGGGATAACCCTCTTTTTCTCCCACCATATATTTGGTGGTATCTAAAAGAAGGTTATTTGCTTAGGAACTTAAGGAATCATCGGGGCGACGCCGTCGAAAATGCCTATTACAAAATGAGCTTGCATTGCCTCTCCGTCTCTAATGGTACCAGCGCTTCTTACAAGCATGAGATGTGAGGCAGCTTTGAGTTTTAATGAGAGACGAGCTTTGCTTAAGTTCCCTCACGAACAATTCTGATGACTAAGGATATTTCGGCAAAAACAGATTGATGCAATCATCAATTTCAAATCCTAAAAGAATTTCTTTTTTAAATTTCGAGGATAAGTTGTCTTCTTGTACCGCCATCTATTTCTGCGCTATTGATGGGTAAAGTTGACTCTGTAGGCTGTTGCTTGGCAACAAATTCTTTGGCAGGCAAAATATCTTGATTTATATCTCTATACCGGCTAACGCCTTTGTATTCTACAGCTGTTGGAGGGCCTGGATCTAAGTTTAGAGCCCCATCAAGTATCTGGTGTTCTGGTGGTTCTGACACAACAATTCGTTGGAGCTTTCTGTGAGGTCTTTCCTGGAGATTAGAGCTCTCCAGTAGATCCTTGAGAGAAAAGCGTTCACAGTGGTCTCCTTTGAAAAAGGTCGGGCATCTACAAGTGTTCCCTTCTAAGCACCTTCCACCATTTTGACATCTTGGAATGCACGCTGCTGAAACTATGATAACAGAAAAAGAAATGAAACCTTTGGAGTTTTGTAAGAGTGCAAAGGCAGCCCCTATGTGCAATACCTTTCAGACGAATATAGGCTTTCAAACACTACAAAAAAACTAAAGCCTCCAGCCAGCAAAGGCTGGTTATTATACCATAAATAAGCTCTTACTGACCTCCATCCGGGAACAAGTCCGCCTTGTTGTTTGGTACTATAATGTTCACTATGGGGCGCACCACCGCGTGAGCCTCGGAGGAGGGCGATGATTGAGCTCCTCCACGCAAACTCAGCCGGACAGTATCTTGGGACTTCCCTTGGTCTTCATTATCGAGACGATTTTCAACTGAAATCAAATTTTTTTTTAGTAATAAAATGAGATTTCTTTAAATTTGCCTTAGTGGCCGAAAAGCGAAAGATGCATTAAGATCGTTTTGGAAATGTTGCTTCCTTTTAAAATTTGGAATGATCATCAAAAGGTGACTTCGGCAAAGATCATTTCGATGCTCGCTTGTCTCATTAGTAAACCATGAGTCATTTTTGATACGAGATATTTTTGTTTAACTGTATACTTTTTATCTTTAACGGCACTGCTATGATTAATATGCCCAGTAACCCATATTGAGATACTTTCGTGACTCTCATTGTAACGACAGCTACAGTTCTAACTTGAATATAGTGCGTGATCTTGGCTTCTACAGCTGGTTAAAATGATAAAAAACGGAAAGATTCATGAGCTTGCTTTTAAAATTGTAATCACATATAGATTAAAAAAAGTTTACCTACCTCTGGTCTCTTGTTCGCCGTCTATTTCATGAATGGAATGAGAAGGTTTGTTTTCGTGGTCTGCTCTTTCAGAGAAGAGAGAGGAAATTGGTATAACAATCTTTTCGGGATTTAATAATTTTGGAGCCTCGTCTTTGGAAACATAGACATTGGTTTGCTGGCTGTGAACTGGTTGCTTTTCGTCAGGCTCGGATTTTATGGAAGAGTGTATAGTGGTTGGCATAGTCGGCCTAGGGACTTCTGCAAAGAGACCAGAACACCTTTAAATGTGTGACAGAACGAAGTTTAGGACGGTAAATCTCCCATAGCTTCCCTCCGGGTACGAAGAGTTCAGTTTTGTATGTGACATTGACCCAGTGTTCATTGACCCAGTGTTCATTGACCCAGTAATAAAAAAAATTAATTTTTACACCAAGGAATACGGATGTTATATTTTCTTCAAACAAGGTGTTGGAATTGCATATGTTTGAAATGTGCTTCAGAACGCACCAGATCTAGACGCTTCATGTTGTCATGAGAAACACAAGTGTTCACTGAGTTTCAGTTTAAGAAGCTTCCACCTTTTGAAGAAAAACTTCACACACTAAATATAAAATCACAATTCCGATTGTTCTAACCTGAATTTTGTTCTACGACCAGGAGGCGCTTCGCCAAGTCTGCCATCGCTGTCTCCAAAACTATAACCTCGCTCTCCAGCTTTGAAACCTTTTTCTCCAAATTGTGAACTTTGTCATCATTGTGGATTCCGTAAACATAACTCGAACCCCTTGGCCCTAATGTGTTAGAATATCAGGAGATGTGTCAAGTTGAATTCTGAATTATATTCAGTAAGGTGGAGGTCATCTTGACTATTTAGTCCTTTGATGTATATTCGAGATCCCCATTTTCAAGTTCATAAGTAGCTTGTCGTTTCACATCTTGTAGGAATCACTTCATTGCAGCTATTTACATACCTCTTTAAACATTAAAACATTGGTACCCACAGTAGCTAATTGTAGCGAGTTGTAGCGGATAGAATATTGCCTAAATGGTTTCATCCGTTAGTCAAACAACAAGTCACGCTTCAAGTTTGGATCCAGTCAGTTCTCTTAGAATTGTACCCCCACTCGACAAATGTTCGAGCCTTAACCGCCCATATGAGATGCATTTAGCAAAACAAAAACGTCTTGCAACATCAAGTTTGAAGTAAAATTCTGCCGGATACATCGCGCTCGCGAAAAAGAAAATCAGTACCTTGTACAATCTGTTTAATGCTGTATGTATTGTCGTCGTTTGAAGTCGTCAGAAGGGAAGTAGGAGGGGTTCGAGATGTCAAGACTTCAACTGTCAGTTTAAGATGATTGATGGATGTCAGTCTGCGTCGTGAATGCTATTTAGCGTTTGCTATTAACGCATAAACGTTACCAAAATTCCAATGTAACCCCATTTACATTACGAGTTAAATATCATAATTACGAAAGCGAAGACGGAATTTTTACGAGGACATATAAGTCATGGATAAAATGAGATGTGAATCAAAGAATGAAAGCATAAATAGATTAATGATTGAATTAAAATGAAAATGGACTAGGCGAAGAAAATAGAAAATCGGCAGAAAATAGAATGATGATGATCTTTTCAAGATTTACCTTGCTGAGTTTTCGATGATTTTTTTTCCTCCTTTGCTGGAGTTTGTTTCATTCCGGGAGAACTACTCTTTAATTTACTGGACGAAACTTTGTCATCAATTCCTGAAATTTTTTGCAAACAAAAATAAATAGATATATCTATTGTGTAGGTTTGTTTGGCTCATCGTATTGACGTTTAGCATAGGTGATTATTGATTTTCTACTCCACAATACCTCTTTATTTTTTACAACTCTCGTGGTTTACCTTGATTAGGTTTCAGTGATTTTTCATTCTCTTTCGTTGGACTTTGGTCACCCACAGATGAGTTACTCTGTTTTTTCCCGGGCGGAGCGCTTTCGTCAATTCCTGAAATTTTTTTTACAATATTACGAACACATTACTGTTAAGCCCTTTTGGTCCATCAGTTTGACGCTTAGTTTTGCTGAGTAGCATTTTCGGTGTTTGAAAACGCCGTTGATGTGCAGACTGAAGCCTTAATCGGAGAAATAATCTCCGTACGTTTTCAAATTATCTGGATACGTGAGGACAGGGGCCTGCTGCATGTTATCTATCTATTTATTATTTATTTATTTAAGGATTTGTACAAAGTACTGGTATATAAACAATAGGACATGAGTCCCCTACTAGGTTTTTATACCAACCCAACCCTCAAAAACTAAGCATCCTATCCCCTCTATCCCCTCTATACCCTCTATCCCCTAAATCTAATACACTTACACAAAAAGAAGACAATAAATAGAAACTAACAGCTACAAACCAAGTGGGTATTTATCCGACAACATTTAGGACACATTATTTTAAAAGTGCGATAATTTTCGCCATCAAAGACATTTAAGAGTCTGTTAAAGTAAAACTCCTTAGGCTTGCGCTTAAGAGAGCCAAGGGACTCTGACTGCCTAGCATCAACTGGAATATTGTTCCACAAGGGGATAATTCTAATGAAATAAAAGTCTCGAAAAGTAGATGTTTTGCTCATATCTAGTTTAAAGGGAAAAGCTGAGCATCCTAGGCGAGTGTGACTGGTAACAGGTTATCACCACAGATAGTGCTATACTCATGCGGCAATCTGCTTTTCCCTTGCGGCAACCAACCCGTACGGTCAGGAATAAGGTCGGAAAAAAAAATTAAATAAATACTGATGATTCTGACATTTTTTTTTTTTCTCTGCAGATTGAGCGGGTGGAAGGCCGGGGTAAATGGATGATGTGGAATTTGAAGGGACGCAAGGCCTATGAAACATTGCAGATGAAGTTTCTTCGTTTATACCTTTACGCCGACATGCCACTTAGTCACATATAGGAAAAGGTACAATAACTAGGTTAGGTGGATGGAAATTAGAAAATAATTCATTTTATATCAATCAAGTTATGTAGCAAAGAACTCTGCCACTTTGTAGCTTTAATTGTGTTCGAAGGAGACCTTCGAATAGTTAGAGAGTTCTCTGTCAACGCTACGTTCGAAATTTGAGCAATGATGTTTTAAATGGGGATCCAGGAGGAAATAGAAGCAAAACACTCCTTACCGTTGACTGGTAATTGGTGATCTTTCGACTCCGTACTGCTAGGAGACTGCTCCGTAGTACTAGAAGACTGCTCCGTAGTGCTAGGTGGTCGCTCCTCTTTGGTTTTCCGTGAGGCCTGAGAATCTTGGTGCGATTCTTGTGACATCTTCATCATGTTAAAAAGCTCTGGAAAGGGAAAAGAGGAGACTCGAAAACCTGCACCACATTGAGTAATAATCAGTTTTCGTAAAAGTTCTATAAAACTTGCTTAGAAACAGATTTCATTCCAAAAGAATTAAATCAGCTCACGGGCTAGATGGCCCACATCCAACACTCGGTACATATCCATCTTCCTGGGGTAAAGAGAGTCACTGTAAGGGTCTGAGCGTCATGTCTAAGAACATAGCACAGTGATCACAAAACAACACAGCAAATGCAGCACAGAGACCCGCCCAGGGCCGGAGCCCAGACCCTCTGTTCCGAATTCCGGTGCACTGATCGTGGGGGAGTTCTGTGGAAGCTGGATATCAATCATGTCCTGTTCCTCTTATCTATTTTGATATGAAAAGAATGATTACCATGTTTGGTATCTTTTTGTGGTGGAACACTCTCCAAGTCAGCCCTGCTTGGTTGCTTTGACATCAGCTCCGGTTTACCAAGTTGCTTGGATTTGGCGTCAGACACTTGTTGAGGCGAATGAGATACTTTATGTTGGACTATCACACGATTCGAAACATGCTTTGAATGGTGTTTAACTGCCTTGATCAGTAGATCTGATGTTGTAGTTTCTAGATCTTGATTAGCACCACTTCTTGGGCCATGTTTTGCATCATTACCTGAATCACGTATCACACTACTTCCCGAATAATCTTTGGAGCCATTTCCTGATTCATGCGTCAAACCTTTTCCTGGACTTTGTGTTACATGTGTTTTTACTGGGCCATTTGCTGCATTTTCTCTATTTTCATTTTCGGGTTTGTCAGATTTTTCTTCGTGACTTACCAGAATCTTCTTAGAGAAAGATCTGCGATGTTTCTCCTCTTTATTTGTTATAGAATTTCCGTGTGAATGCTGAGTATCATTTACATAGCTCTCAGAGCCTGTTTTATCCTTGCTCTCAAGCTTAAAGTCAGGGGCATGTGAGGACGTTTCTTTAACACTTGGCTCCCCGCTCTTTAGGTCAGGTTTGATCTCAATATTCTCTGTGTTTTCTAATGATTTGCTTTTTTCATTTGTCTGATCTGCAACAAATTGAAATTAGCAATAAGTCCTCTATTTTGCGTAAACATAATCAAGATTTCACGAAGCTCAGTGATACTGGCAATTTAAAGCAAGGAGTCGGAAGCGAAACAAAGAGAAGCGGAAAACAGAAACAATAGTCATTTGTATGTCTAAACAGGTTGTGATCATGAGTAGACCGCGAGTGTTTTCCGTAAAGAGACCAATTAAATGACGTGTGAACGAATTCCAGGAGGGGGTATCTGCACTAGCGTCTCACCGGTATATGATGACATGACAGGTTGTTTTATAATTAAGAATTACCAATGAAATTCTCTTAACAAAGAGTTTCCCCGCCCTACACTCCCCAGCTACGCCCCTGTTAACCGCTGTCCATTGCCCACAGCCGCTCTGGCTTTTCATTTTATTCGTAGTAATGGATGATAACGTTAGCTTGAAGTAAGTGAGGAACATATGCAACTGTGGTTGGCATACCTTTTTGCGTCTCACTGTGATTGCCCACTGAATCCTGTTTGGTCTTTTCCTCCTTAACATTTCGGATGGTTCCTTTCGAATTTCCCAGCTTTTGCAACGTCACAATGATCTTCTGTTGTGACTCATCTGCTGATACTGAAGTGGCTGCACCTCTCTGCGTTTCCTTCTTTAGAGCACTGCTGATGCTATCCACCAACTTTCCTTGAGAATTTTGTTTCATTTGTTTCTTGTTCTTAATTTTAACAATAATCCTTGAATTGTTATCAAGAGTTCTTTGCACATCTCCAGGGGTAGCTTTTTTGTATTTTGCAATTCCATCATTTTGTGAATTACTTAAATGATCTCTTTCAGAGTTTGTGACGTTTGCCCTATTGATAAAGATCTTTTCTTTGTCAAATGTTTGTTTTTTCGTTGAAGCAGTTAGCGCTGCTTCACTTGTAACTTTGGATTCTTCAAACTTTTTTTTAGACGAGTCTAACCTTTTTTGATCTGTGAGGAAGTTTGTAGAGGTCAGTGATCCAGATCTTTCTTCTTTTCTCTCGACGTTGATGGTAGAGCTTTTTACTTGCTGGCGTACAGAATTATCATCTGTGCCTTTACTCGTCAACTCAACGGGATTGGTTTCATTTATTTGACGTGTTTTCAGGTTTGCAACGACGTTCTGTTGCATAGAATAAATATCAGTGCCTTTATTTACCTTGTGAGTTTCCGTAGCCTTTACATTAACATTTTGATTAACAGTATCATTTGCTTTGTACACTCCTGATGCCCCTTCTTTTCTATTCATCTTTATAACTATATTCTCGGATTTCGCTGACTGAGGTGTTTTTGTTCTTTTTCGCAATGCATCGGAGATAGTTGTTCTGTTGTTCCCAGTAGGCCCTTTTCTTGAGCTGTTTTTATCCCTTTGAAGATCAGGTTCTTCATTTGTTTGATTTCTCTCGCCAGTAAGAATTTTTTTTCCGGTCGGGTATGTCTCTTTGTGCTCTTCTTTAAGAGCTGAAGTTGACTTGCGTAAAGTTGACTCTTCTAGTGAATCAGTTTTAGAATTAGACTTCTGGTGTAGAGGAGTGTTAGATGTGTTGAGTTTTGCTGGTAAAGCAGTATTGCCTCTTGTTTCCGGACCAATGACATTAGAGAGAGTGGTTTTAGGATCTGAAAGTGAGGTCTTATTTCGATTAAAAAAACTTATTCTCATTGTTTCCAACATTTTAGCTTTTCCAGTCTTTTTTACTCTTTCTTTCTCGCTTAGTGATGCGTTTACCTCATTTTGACTGACTTTCCTCTGGGGAAAGAAACTATTTGAGTCGTTTTGATCTCTCACGTTATCGTTTGTCGCCTTAGTGATTGCACTTGATTGCGCATGCTCAACTGCTGGTTTTTCGCCTTCCAAACGCAATTGCTTCCTTCCGCTCTGTGTGCTGTTGTCAGTGCCGCGTAACTTTACTACAGAGCGACTTTTATTCCCTCTTCCTAATGAGGGACCACTTGACTTCTCGGAAGAGTTATTTTCTCCTTCTCGCACTTCAATCTTCTTAAGATGTTGCTTTCCTTTCTGTGTCTCTACCTTACGAGCGTCAGATTTACTTCTCTCTGTATCCTTGTTAATTGTCACCAAGGTTTTATTAGTACTCGATCTTTGTTCTTTACCTTTTGATAATGAGACAGGAAGTGTTATTTTCGGCACCGAAGTAGAACGAGTTTGTGACTTTTCCCGAATGGAAGTGACGTTGCTATTTTCTTTATCCTCTAACGTTTTCTGGATCACAAACGTGGTATTCTCTACTGAATTGTCAGTCTCAGGTTTTAGCTTTGGTTTAGATTCATTCATGTTCCTCTTTAAAAACGACACCTTTACTTTCTCTTCTGATGGCTCCTTGAAGGCTGAAAATGAATATGTATATACATGTAAAAAACAATGATCATTGTATGGAAAAGAAGCGACAGGTGCTCTAATCTGAAGTTTATTTGGTAGAATAAAGGGCATTATTATTCAAATGTGCGATTTTAAGGAATGAAAGCTGATATATGTAGTCTTATGCTTTAATGCTTATCACATTGACGCGACCGGGGCTTGGGCCGAGAACTCTCGATCTGCTGACCATTAGGCAACGACGTCTCCCACGAGGAAACAAGCTCGAAAAAGATGCAGTTAGAGCAAAGGTATGGGACAGATTTTTAAGAACAGATATATTATCTGCCTCTCACGCATAGAATTTCAACTTACGTTTCGTTTGAGACGACTTCCTCCCTGTATTCGAAACGTTTTTGATAAAATCAATACTAACTTTTTGAACCGGTAGATCTGAAAATCAAAGGTAACTTAATTAATGAATTTTCTGGATTCAGTTGATTTGACATTCGGATTAAAAAGTCATGTTCATTTAAATCCCATGAACGGGAATAGTTTTAGATGTTTGAACAATGGTTAAAATTTCCTTAGATTAAAAGGGAAGGGTAAGCTTTACTCAAGATTTTACCCGCTTGATGGTGAACTGTGTCTGTTCTGTGCTTCTGTTCGGGTTCTGTTGAACCGTCATCTTTATCCAAAACTGCTGACCCACTGCTGTTCATGCGCACATCTGTTATTAATCATGCATATTTCAGGTTATTGGAATCACCTCACTAAGTACTGCGATCATTTTTTAAGGGTAAATGGATAATGGATTATGGAATGTGCATAGAAGTTGCTAAATGCAAAACTATTGTATATTCAATTTCCTTTTTAATTTCCTTCCTTCCAGTTGCAGAGTACGGCATTGTACTTACTCTTAAATTGATTCTAGCCTATGATTTCGTAGGTGTAAAGCGCATGTATGACATCATCCCGGCAATGGCAATTTTTGTTATCGTGATGTAATAAAACAAATGCCGCCCATATTGCCGTGGACTTGTTCAAGATTTATCACTGAAATGTCAGCTACTTTCTTTATTCTTGACTGTTGATATCATATGTGATTTTTTTACGTTACATTCGTTCTGAAAGATAGACTCATTTTTTTTTAAACGTAATAGCTCTCTTTAAGCAATTTCGAATGGTCTTTCAATGCAGTAAGCAACGGGAAAGTTGCTCCGAGACAACATCGAGGATACTTCAGGCAGCATACCAAAAAATGATCATATATATATAATTGTGTTGGACGTACCAATTGTGTTGTTCAGCATTTTTCCAAGTTTCTGTGTGATTGCTCTTCCTGTGTTGTGCATTATATCATTCACGATGGAATGCATCACTACTTTGGCTCCTGTTTTTTTTTTTTATTCCAATAAGAATTTAAATGCAATTCTGTCAGTAAAATATTCAGAATTTAATTCAGTAGAATTTAAGCAAGGCGTCAGATTACAGCCACAATTACCATTACTTCGTTAACTTATAACCGTCCAAAACAAAACAAAAATTCTCATTTATCAAACGATGTTGATTTTCACGATTTTCCCGTTATTTATAACGGATCAAAATCATGCTTGAGGTCGAAGTTAAAGGTGGAAGGCTTAAGTACGCTATGCGCTACCATCACTTTGGATCATATTCGTTTTGCATTATTGTCTGCATATGACGAAGTCTGGCAAAGTTTGCAATTTGTCGTTTGGTACATGATATTTGTTAAATAGAGTTTATCTCGTGATTGTAGTCGTTACTCCGTGCTGTCGTTGAGTCTTATCGGAGGAACGCAAGTGATCCTACCTACCTTTTGCTTTCCAAACTCTCCATATTCTATGCATAACTGATATCCAAAGGCCACTAAGTTGTTCAAATGTTTTGAAAGCAACGCCTAAGCTTTCAGGGCCTACGTTTAAAGAGAAAAATTACTGTCAGGTGTTACAGCTTATTAGGCTTACTGGACTGAGAGAATTTTATTCCTCGTGCTTTACCAGTGTTGTCTTATGCAGGCAATAATGCGGATATCCGAAGAAAAGGTTAAAAAGCTAGTTTTCCTCACCTGATCTTAGCTTTTTGGTAAACTCCTGATCTGACTTGGCTGTGAAAAAAATAATCGAGCAATAAATTTATGAAAGTGATATTCGTAAGGGCATACTATAGAAACGAAGATAAAACTTGTTTCGGCTTCCATTGCTTTCTTCTTGGTAAGATCACTTCAGCTGATGTAAATTTTGTGTCGATTTAGTTTCCACACAAGATCGTTTCCGCACAAAATAAAGTCCAGTTCACAGACGGCACACTTTTTAAATTGAAAATAAGATATTTCTTTAATTATAATCTCACCCTTTTTTAGCCTTTTCATCACATCAATTGCTTCGCCAACTGGAACAAAAAGAAGGGTATGTGGTTATGGTAGTTTAAACATATTCAAGGTTATTGAGATACATTGTGGCCTTTTGATAAAAAGGAGCGATGTTTAAGTTCTAAACTGCACATGCTTGAGGGCACACAACATTCTACATTCAGAGACTTTAACCTCAGATTAGCATAGCTGTGTAAGTTCAATCAGGCAAAAGCTTCGTTAATTTCCATCCAGGCCATCTTAGGTCTGAAACACTCTCTAGTCTGATGTAACAATTGCAATCATCACGATATCTCTTTGGAACATGAAAATGTAATGACAAACCTTTAGAAAGATCCATTGAAGAACCAGCATCCTCGTTGGTGTTCTCTTGGTATCCACTCTTTTCGGAGTTGTCGTGTGACCATCCGTCTTGTCGGGATCCTCCTTTGTCTTCACCAACACCGGAGGTAACAAAATTCCTGTTAGAGTGAGTTTGCGAGATTCTCGGATAAAATTTAGGCTGTCCGTCATCTTCGCCTTTGTCAGTTGAACTTGAACCAGAGTCAAACCCGGTGAAGTTATCATTCTCACCAGTACTGGTATCTGACAGGTATTGAAGATAAAAAGCAATCTGAAATCAGCATCTGCTTCTATCACTGACACTCAATTTTGACAAAACTACAATTTTACCACAATTGGCAACAGTGTCACAATTTGATTGGCCAATTTTCCCCTGTCGATTTGTGATTCGTTCCATGAGTCCTTCTAGTGAAAGGCGTCATTTCTCGGTTCATTTAGTTTTTAATACACATTTTTAAGTCGCATTGTGGCGTTATAACATGGCCTATTGGAAGAACCTTGTTACTAGTTAGGATATACTCAAGTTCACACAGCAACTAGGTGGACAATCAGACCACCCGTGGTGAAGGCATTAGACAGGAGTGTCCAAACGTTGGGTCGATGAATTGTAATTTCAGTTACATTCATTAAATCTATAAACCAGAGTAGTATCAAAACATTTCTGTTTGTTACAAATTGTTAAGAATTTAAATCTGCAAGACTTTTGAAATTACAATTCTTACCGCCACTTCCACTCCAATCACCCTGGTCCCAGGATCCCTCACCACTGATGTTGTCAGCCTTATATTCTATAAAAACCAAAATAAAACTCTCACATTAAATGGTCGGAACCCAAGTGTAACAGGTGATCGTGTAGGCCGGGCAAAAGGAGTCATGGGAATGACTATTGTTGGCGCTATGGACTCTGACGTTTCGACAGCCTAAGCATCATCATCAGAGTCAATGGACTTTTTTTGCAAGGAATTGTGTACACTAGAAAAGGTACAAAGAAACCTTTTTTTTAAGTCGAAAGTAAATTTTTTTACTATTGATCCTTTTGTTTATTTATCCCTCGTTTTGACCATAGAAACTAAGTATGCAATTGGCTTCATATGGCGTAATTAGTAGTGAATTAGTTTCTTAGTGATGTCAATAAAATGACATGTAATGGTTTCCATCACATGTCATTTGATCTTTCGGAATCCAATAAATTTAAATCATAACTATGCCTTTCTGTTCACGTCATTAAGTTCATTGAGCTTTTGGTGGACAAAACTGGTCCAGTGGTCGAGATCTTAGAGGCAGCTCCATGTTTCTTCTGTTGATTCATTTCTTTGTTTTCATTATGATGGTTTTTAAATTCGGTCTTACCTTCACAACAGCCTAGTGCCAGTCCTTGTATGAAAAGGAGCAACAAGATGACATAGAAGTTCATCACCTCTCCTGCTGTGGGTGGAACTTCCCCCTGAAGGGTGGTTACATGTATGAATTTTAAGGAAGGGAAATGCCCTTGGAATCTGGGAAAACGACAAAAAAAAAAACAAATAAATAAACAAAACAAATTAGACCTGTGTTTCGTATTCCCTAACTTTTATATATCGCATCACACTTGGGACTCAGGAAAGATTTTACTAGTAAAATGTTTGCTTTAAGAATTTTTCTCTCTATCCACTTGACTACCTCTCCGTTAAGTGGAAAGAAATTTTTACAGAGGTGTTGAATGGAGGTGGCCCGTGCGGAAGCCTTAACCGATAAAATTGTTTCAGGTCATTTCCCTTAGGCTAGGGATGTAAATTTACTGATTTCTCAAGATCTTCATAGTGTTTTCATCAGGGCTATGACATCCTAGAGAGAGCGTGTTCCCCACCTTTAAGCTTAGGACTATCTGCAAAAGCTTGTGAGAATATTGGAGGTTCAAAACGTAAATCTTTTCGATACGCTTGGAAGGTCCTTGAAACATAAGTAAACTTATTTAACAAAATTCTTTTTCATTTACATGCGGATCAATAAATTTTTCTCTCAGCAAAAAAGGCTAAAGAGGAGAAACGTATCCCTTCTAGAATGAATGGTGTGTGGCCGGTAAAACGAGGTGCTTTGTTTGAGCACTTTTTGCGTCTCAGTTTGTTTGCAGCTTAGAACAAAAACAAACTAAGAGCATTTCATTATGATAATTATGATTAAAATGTTTTTCACCCTAGTAGCATATTTGTAAAATACTTCATAAAGAATTCGGTCATTGGTATCAAGTTATTTTTAGACACAGTTTCTTATCTAAGAGCCTCTTGGCTGGTCAGTAATGAACTCTTCGATCGTTGTATTTTTTTTTTTACCGAAGAATGTATGAAATGGAAACTTGGCAATTTCAGCCATGATGATTCATCTTACTCACAGTGTTTCAAGAGGTAGAACGGGGTCAATCTCAAACCTAAAGAATACTCTTACGATTTGTGATGGCACCTCAGTACAAAAAGTTCCAGTATTCTCCAGATTGCAGTTGAGGTTCAGTCGAGAAAAAGGCGAATTATTGCGATCCACTGTGACTAACAGGAGTGTCTTTTGCAAATTCCTTTTGCAGGCCTCGCTACATAACCTAACTTTTATCTTCTGATTTAAATTAAGTTTCTGTGTTCCGGAATATTTATAGAGTTAATTTATTTGATCATCCATGAGTGAAATAACACACTGATTCTTTTATCCGGTCATTCTCGCAAACAATGGAACCCGTGGACACCAGTTGCTTTGCAGAGTTTCACGAGTAGTTCTATCATCCGTGGATTTGAGATCGTGTGTCTTATGACACCGTCAAAAGATCCATAATTTTCTCTGAATTGGATTCGGAGTTGAAAAAAAGGCAGAGTGCTTACTTTCGTTGATTGCTACCAATTTTAGCCGGCTATATATTTAACATTACTTTTTAAACGAAGACATCATTACATATCCTACAAACTCGAACTTAGTATAAGGCGTATTTTTGGTTTTATCAACTCAGTTGATCTTGTAAATTGGCGTATTCACATTACCAATTCAGTTGATAAAACCAAAATGGCCTTGTTACTGCCACCGACACAGCACCGCAGTTTCTTTAGAAACTTACTCTCTTTGGTATAAGGCATAACCTATTAACTCGGCTGTGGTTCAGTTGATAAAGCACTCTATCCCGTGATCGGCTCTGTTTTCTCTTCTGAGTTCGAGTGTCTATATTTCAAGCTTATAGAGATGACATTTTTTTGCACTGACAAATACGCTGAAAGACGTAAAATTTGTGTTTCTTCGTTCGCAGACCGTTAAACCTCGCCTCAATGATATTGAGATCTGGGCCTCATAGAGATGAATATTGAGTGAAGGCCGGATTATAAAAGTAAACGCAGGTGCTAGAAAATATTCCACGGAAAGATTCTGAGCCTTATTAACCTTATAAAAGCTTAAAATAGTATAGAATGCTAAGTAAAATTCTTATCAGCGAATCACAAGTACAAGTAAACTTAATTGATCAACATGACAGAAACCACTGATACTAAGAAACGTTTCCTGGAATTACAAATACTGAGGAAAAAGGAAACAGGTTCCATTAGTAATTTCTCGTGAGTACAACCCTTAAAATCTGGCATGAGAAATTATAAAAAGAGGGAAATTTGGAAAGAGCAGGACTCGTGAGATTTTCTGTATAGTGAATTGCTGGCCTCTTCAAAACAGAACTTTGCCTAAAGCTCGACGAACTTGTTTCTCTGCATCCTTGTTTTGGTCTCGCAGAAAGCGGACAATGGTGGAATAAGGAACTATCAACTTATGACATAGATTATAATTGATCCCCGCAAAAAAAAAAAAAAAAAACTTCGTAAAGTAGCTGAACATTTTTCATGTTTGTAATTTGGTATTTGCTATTTACACAGGTATTAATGTCTTCAAGTATTAGCAATAAATCGGAAGTACGTTTCCAAAGCTTTCTTTTGAAGCTCGAGAGTACAATGAACGGATGAATAAGTTTATTTGACAGGTTTAATTAAACAGTTTAAGCCAAAACTTTGACTCAACTGCATTTTCACATGTCATTTGTTCCTTCCTCGCTGACAAAGGCTGCAGAAAGACAAACTCGTATTGGTCCAACGATCCGTCTCGATAGGATTTGAAGATTACTTTTTGTCAGTAAGTTCCCAGCTACATAGCTCGTAAGCTCCGACTATGTACTACGTTTTAGCCTTTTGACCTCGGCTCTGTTTTAATTTAGAACTTTGGTACCCGTCATAGGGTATTTATGTTACCATGTGAAGTAATTCGTGGACAATCACGATCAGTGATTTTAAGGGAAAGATTGTTTTAGTAAACACTATGTTTCGTTATTGTAAATATGCCAACCACCTTGGTTAGCACTTTGTTTTCCCATCCTAGCGTATCAAAAGAGTGAAAGAATCTGCCGCATCGTAGACTAAACTAGAGTCAGGGAGAGAATCGCTGTCAAGTACCTCACACTGGTTTATTTTGCTGACATGACTGTCATACATCGTTCAAAAGCAAATAAACTAAAGGACATGCATCGTAATGCCAGAAGATCAAATTATCGAGCGAGAATGGTCAAAGAAATGTAATTTAAATTATATGAACTCTGCCAACTTTTAACAAGTCATAAGTACCAGTCGATCAATCATCAGAATCGTTAAAGAACTATCTATACTATATTGAATTCGTTTTCAGTTTAAGGTGATTACACGTCGGCACACCTACCTCTGTACTGAATGATAGTCGCCCTTTTTCCTCTCTTGGGCCTTAAGTATCACAATTCCATGAAAACAAAAATCACTTCGAGAAACTCGTAAACTTACTCATGGGTGGTCAGTATCAACACGGCTAGGTGTTTACAGCGAGCAGTGTACGCATGAGCGGCAGTGTGATTCGAAACGCACCCAATGACCTCAGCAAACTGGTATGGTTTTCTTTGACCCTCTACTGACCCGGCCTGTTCTAACGCATTAAAGCGTCGAATGTTGAGAAAATCTTGGACAAAATCTCCACAATGGTTACACGCCACTTGGTTTTCGTGAAATGTGAAGCATTCAGACTCCTTTTCACCAGGCAGTGATCCGCGAGAAGTGTGTCTTGTTCTACTTGGTCATTTATCCAAGCGAAGCGAAGATTTAGAAAGTTCCTCAGAGGGAAATGTCTTTTTTTTTCAGTTTCGGGAACACAATTTCACCGCGTATATAGACGTGTTTAGCAGTTGTCTGACCGAAAGTTCAGAACAATGTCTGATTTAGCCTGATTATGATTATGTTTTGAGGGACGGAAAGATGTTCTTTGGTACCAATATTAAAAGCGTTTATTTTGAATCACTAAGAGCAGTTTAATATTACCAACACCTGTGGTGTGATAACGACGAAACAGGTTAGTTCGCCTGCGCCCTTTTAGTGAAGGGAATGTTGATAATCTCTCAGATATCTAATGTAAATCAGTGCTTAAATTTGTATGGAATCTCAATACGGACTCCGCAGTCTTTTCATGGTTTTTCCTCGTTCGATTGATAGAGGTTGTCTTCAACTGGTCTTATGTACAACCAATTAAAGACAAACAATTGTTCTTAATTTAATTGAGTAAAAAAAGTCATTACACTCAACAATTCCACGGTTTCTACTATTTACAGTCAAAGTTAATTCGACAGGCGATTTAGACAAGAAAAGATAAATAAAATGAAAGTTTGTTTGATGAAGAGTGTTGGGTTCCTTTGCCGAGAATAGTAATTTGGTTTTGTGTGATGTATTAAACTCGGGGCTAAGATGGGTCAATAACACACGATTGATACACAAATACAAAAATAAAATAGTTTTTTAGTTTTAAAAAGTTTTATTTCTTCAAAATATTCATGAAATACAACAATTGCTTAATATTCTCATTAAGTCAGTGTTGTCATCTTTTTCTCTATCAAAATATCAGTTTTATAAAATGTACAGGACCATCATACAAAAGAAAATCCTTCCGCATGGTAAATGTCTTCCAATTGTCGTTGTTAATGCAGTAAATGGTTTGAACCCGGGGGAACACGTGAAAGTGTAGTGCGATCGTCCGGGTGAGTGTAGTCCTGAGAAGGACTGGACTGTTGTCGGTAGTGATGACGTTTCGAAAACCTGTGCGGAAGTCCGTACTTGACTCTGAGGATGACTTCCGCACAGATTGTCGAAACGTCAGTCATCACCACCGACAGTCCATCCTAGGACTACACTCACCAGGACGATCACACTACACTTTCACATGTCGTTGTTAATATTTTTGGTCCCAGCTGAAGATCACATATGATAACTGAAAAAGAGAAATTCTTATTCCTCTTGGTTCGTTGCAGTCCTTCAAAATATTCAAAACAATTACGTTTTTGACATTATGGTGTTCGAGAATTGGAATTCTTATAAAGGAACGAAGTGGAATTGTGTTCATTTAGACAGCTAAATGAGGGGAAGTGGTCATAAAATCCAGCGGAGCTCTCCATGAGTACTTCACTCTTTCACTCCAAGCAGTGACCGATAAATGCATCTCTATCGGTTCATTTTTTAACAGAAAGGAGCAGAGGACAGGCAAAATATTAACTAGAGGCTTTTTAAATCAAGATTCTCAGGGTTGGAATCATACAAAATGAAAAGCAGACATAATTTGTATTCAGGTATTGGAGGGAAAAGGGTTATGGTCATGGCACGAGATCAAATTGCATGTGATAGGGCTGGATGCTGTTTTCTGATAGGTGAATCAGATATAGTAGTTGTTCAATGGAAACTGGCCATGCAAGCTCAAAAATCACAGATTTAATGTCTTGTTCTTTCTATCCCACCTTTTTCGTTCGTTCCCACTCCTTTCTTAATTGTGTCCATTCGCCTGACACCGTTCGCTCGCCACCACAGATTAATCCAGTGGTATTTTGAGTGATGCCACTTGTCTTGTGATTCTTGTTAAAATAGATCATATCTCAATTTTCCGTCCGGTTGTTTAAAGGTTTTCTTTTTGTGATTAAGAACAATGTGATGTGAAAAACCTGAAACTAGAGAAAGACACAATGCAAATTAATGAAAAATAGGCACATTGCCAAAGGTACATTTCGATAAATGACCAAAATCCTGGCTATGCATGTAGCCTTGACGTTTTCCATTTTGCAACGAAGCTGGGATAAAGAAGATCTCTGAGTCCCTTATAAAGAATCGAGTCCCTGACTCTTGGATTTTGCGGTCTGGTGCTCTTCTAGTCGCTACCAGTGAGTTAAAGAGAACTCGATGGTAGGTTAGATGATTTGTGGGTTCCTATTTGACATGAATTCTGCCGGTCGCAGGCAAGCATATGCTTAAGCCATATAAAACATCTTTCTTATTCTATCGGAGACCATCACGGAGTTATTCTCCACCTTGGTTTCCTCATTGTGATGTGAATCATTATGTATGTGTACCCTCCACAGGTTCTAAGAGAGTCTGAAAATTTTATTACAACAATACAGACCGTACTGAACTGCATTTCTTATCAGAAAATTTGTCCTTGAACAAGAAATGTTCGAGCGTGAGACCTTTCTTTCCGTTTTACTAATTATGATGACGTATTTGAAGAGGATAAGTGGGTATATTTTGTCAATTGTAAGGCAAGACTATAAGCACGAGGACTCCTGAGAAGATTGCCACTGACATATAGGGAGGTGGCTGACTTGTCTGTTATTTTTCTTCTCAGTTTGTCAATGATTGGTAATGAAACTGTGAAATTATATGTCTCGCTTGTAATGTTTGTTCATTGATTTTTGTACTTTTTTTATGTCGATCCTTTTCGTTCAGAATGATCAAATTAAGACTTCCTCGCGTTTTGAAAATCAAACGAAAAAGTGAGTCTTTCCATAATCTCGACATCTGTTGTTTAGAAACGCTAAAACTTCTGGTGAATCATTAAAACTCTGCTGATACTTCGAGTAAATCTCAATATGCTCAAAAGCTGGATTTATTTTCACGAACTTCAATGAAAATGATAAGGATATTTTTGTAATTACCGCTTCTCTGTAAATTTTAGCCTAAGTCATCCAAGATCTCATGAGCGTTACAAAAAAGGCGAATTTTTTTTCAGACATTAAGTTTCTAATTTTAATCAGCCAAGTGGCGTTGAAGGGATAGAAAATTACCTAGTCCAAATATATTACTTTAAGATGTTGATCTTAATCTCGAGACAGATTATAAGGATATCTATGCATGGAAATTAGAAAAAAAAAATAGTATCTATGGCATGAGGGGCTTTTTCCCTCTCTCTCTCTCTCAATTCCCACCAAAACAATTACCATCCTAAAGAATACTATAAGACTTTCTCTCACAATTTTTTCTCTGTAAAAATAACGGATATGTAATTATTTCGTGAAACAGAAAGTAAAGTTACTGATTATGAGCGCAATGCCTCAACATGACTGTTGGAAGACCCACTATTCGATTGGCGGAGCAATTATCTTGCATAGATCGATAGCCGCGACAAGATTCTAGCAACACTTCTGCAGTATTTTGTTTCAATCTCTCTGAAGAGTGACCACTGCTACACCTGGTCTTATCGAAATTACTGAGTGACACCGATCTCTTTTGAAAACGTGCTCTGTGTCAACGCTTGGACCACGATAAATCATAACACTTACTCATTGAAATATATGATTCAGGTTTTTCAAAAAAATTTAAATTGATGTCTTGCAAAGCCCTACTCGCACGGCACAACTACTCCTCAAGCCGCAGATCGCGGACACTGAACTTGTGTTGAATGAACTAACTTTTTCTTGCCGGACTCGGTTTTTTATCAAAGGAAAGATTAATGAGTCACGTAAAAAAAGGATCATTTACTGATGATTAGCTGGGAAATCGTATTTTGGTTCCTAAATTCTGAAGAGTTGTTCAGGCTGCAAAAACTTATTCATTTACAGTACACCTATCAAGCCAAGGCTAGTCTCTTGTCACGGCTCTGAAAGCCAACTCATTTATCCTCCTAAAGGTGAGTTAGCTATACTTTTTCTGAATAAAAAATAAATAAATAAAATAAATGCATTGTACTTTGCTTATTATGGGTTGTTTTCCCCGCACTGATTCACGCTGTTTTGTTGAACCCAATGCTATTGGGCAGAGTTTTGATGTTGTAATACAATTAGCTTTGGTGACATAACTTCCTTCTTCACTAAAATCACATTTATGGTTCACCGTCTATCGCATTTATTTTTTCAAAAGTTGAAGTAAAGTAGAAGCAAAATTGCCGAGTTTCAGACGAATTTCGGGGGCAAATCAAACTGGTATTCTCGTTGGGAATATCATTTTCAATCCGCTTTATTACGACAAAAATATCAGGAAATATCTCTAGCATAAAGGTTGTTGTAACAGATGTATCAACATAATTTCTTGATTATAAAGATATCTGTTCAGGAACTCCTCAGTGTAATATAGAACGATTCGGACTTACCAGCGGAGGTAGATGAGGGAATCCACTTTAGTTTTCGCCATTAAATGTTTCGGTGTACTGAACATGGGCCTCCTCACATCCGCTTGTCACATGCTTGATAAAAGTTTGTTCCAATTGCTGCCTTTTGTGCTTTATTTTCTCCAGTTCTTCCATTAACCTAGAATTTTCCATACAAAGCTCTTCCACTGTTGTTTCGAGCCTTGATTCACGTATAAGTTTCCTCTGACGGCATTTCCACGCCGCCAGACGATTTTTCCGCCGTTTCTTTTCCGTTTTGATGAAACCCTGAACATCGGGCATTTTGGATGATTGTGACTGGTCGTCTACACTGTTCGGCTCTTGTTTTATGACAGACATGTTGTAGAGTTTTGTGTGAACTGTTAGCCAATGCTTTGGAGTTGGGGTATCCTCTATTATGTGTTGTCCCTCAGAGAGCCACTCGTTATGTGGCTGAAAGTTGTCTTGTGCCGTGTGGAAGCCTTCTTGAAATTCCATGTCGTCTGCAGTTCTGCCGTCGATTTCAAAATCTCCGAAGCCATAGCCATTTGCCGCGTAATCAGATAAAGGCGAATTAGTCGAACAATCATCCGATTCTTCTTCGGAAGAATTTATCAAACAGTCGTTATACTGGCACTGTCGTTGCCCTGAAAATCCCTCTTCTAACGTTTCCACTTTAAACCATTCTGAAACCTCCGTCCCCTCAAGTTGTTGTCCATGTTCTCGTTCAGAAAGAGTTCTACGTGGGTCCTGATATGTTTTGGTTTTGATAGTAGTACCCGTACATTTAACAGGTAAAAAAGTTTCCTGAAAAGATGGCAAACGGAAAGATGAATCAAATCTGTAAGAGATGAAGGTGCATTTCGAGTCATCGTCCACTTTATTTGATTCGTCTATCGTGGGCGTCCGGGTTTTGCTTGCTTCACGCAGTTCCCTTTCCTCTCGCAAACGTTGAAGCGCGTCGGTAAATCCCCTTGCAAACACTTCTTGTTCTGCGGTGACTTTTTGTGTTGAATAATTTTCCTGTGCGGCAAAAGTTGGCGGTGAAGATGTTGACTGTAGTTTTACCGCACAAGAATCAGGAAAGTTTCTCCAAACGATCGTCTCGAGATCCGGCGATGAAATCCCAATATCTGGAGATCTCAAGAGGTCCGAGATATCAAAATCGTCTCTCCTTGCCGACGTCTTGCACTCAGTCGTTAAATTTAACCACAATCTATCATTGTCTTGAGCGCAGGAATTTTTATTTGCTAACAAAAAGCTTTGATCCTCATAAATGGTGGTCTCCATTTTAAATTAAATCACACTAAGAGACGCTCCACAGTTGCGTACAAAATCCGTAAACCACATGGCCTGCTGTGAGGTTTGCTTGTTGAACTGTTTGCCTCAACTTTAAACCAGTTTCGATAGTCTTGATAAATTTGTGAGGTCTCCATTAAAAGGCACGTGGAATTCTATTGTCCCACGGATTTCAATGGAGGTGCGTGGCACAAATCTTGGTAATCCTTTGTCTCAGTCAATCGAACGAGCAAGTTTGCTACACTGTGATTGGCTGATTTCGCCTGAGACAGGTAATGTATTATTTTACCCATATACAGCGGCGTGTCTTTTTTGTTTTGTTTTGGATAGTTCAAGATTGTTTCGTGTGACCTAGAAGTCAAGGGGCTTTCATGCAAATGAATTTATATTTACTTAAATCAATAGCAAGATAATCTCGTACGCCGCACAAAGCTATCGTGAAGGTCATACACCTGTTTTCTTTACCCTTGTTGATGAAGATTGCTCGCAACATTAGTCTGACGATTTTCTTGATAAATGGGTATAAATGGCTTGAGTTTTAATCTTTTCTTTTAATCTTTGGCAGACCATGATGTGTCCTTTATATATAGTTAATATGATATTGGTTGCTGACAGCCCAGTTAGTTTGCAACGCTTTGTCAGGGTAACCATTGACACTTTAGGTGGCAGCTGTGAACCAATCTAGTACCTGTTGTGTATAATCTTTGTTATAGAACCCCTGCAGTTAATATGGCCATTATTGGCCATAAAAATGGTCGTAAAATGGGTTAATTTACGTAATTATTATATCATTTTGGAGGCGGTGAGGCTGATTGATAAAGACCGCTGGATTTTGAACTCTGAAGTCCCAAGGTCAAATTTCCTTCTCTTTCACTCATCTGGATTTGCAACTGAGTTTCTACTGTTCTGAGTTCAACTCGTTCCCTGCACCTAGTAACTAGTCAACTGGTCTCATCAAACCAGGGAAAATTTCCCCAATTTGTACACAAAATAGGCTTTAGTTATCTTTTGGCTTCTTCAGGCTGGGTAAGAGAAAGGCATACGTGATTCGCGAGTCACTTGTTCACTTTCGGGAAAATACGCCTGCTATGCACGCCAGTCCCCACATTGTTCATAACAAGTTCTTCAAATTTCCATTTTATCGAGCCTTTAAAAGTTGGATCAGTAACGTGTTGTAAACAATAGAGAGTTTTTTCAAACAGCGTATGTTATTCAGGTAGATATTTTGATAGTTCCAGTCATTGTCTATTTTTGTTGTCTGTTTTCATTGAAATCTATAGGTGATCTCTGCAAAGACTGTATTTTCATGCATCGTAAATTGTTTCACAGGAAAAGGAAAACTCTGTACCAAGAGCTTACAAAACTATTAGGGTTTTACTTTCTTGAGAATCCATAATTACGCCTATCCTCCACATATGTTACTCTGGCGATCAAAAAGATACGCGCATTGTTATTGGCCCGAGATTGCATCACAGAAGAAAAAATCACCAGCTTCGCGTGTGCGCTTCCCCACGTGAAACGATTCTTACATCAAAATATAACTGGTTTAGGATAATCAAAAGAAAGTGTGCGTGAAAAGAAACTGGCAAACAATTTACCTGTTAATTATCCTTTTTTGATGTTTATATGATAATTTTAGTTTTACTCGCACGACATAAAAACCAACTCTTCCCCTTTGGCGAACATGTGTCAACTAAACTTTATTTTTGTCAACAGGTAAAGTAAATCCTAACTGGAAAGCGTTCTACGAAGTTTTGGTGTTGTTTTTTTTTTTCTTTGATCCTTCCTTATTCTCTTTCTTTCTTTTGAATATCTCTGTGTTTATAATCAGGTTTTCTTGTTGTTTTTTTTTATACATATTTATTCCGAAAGCGGCTACACTATATCTAACATTGTAATGCTTGTTTGTACATTAACATTTTTTCTCCTAATTTGAGTGGAATCATGTTGGTCTGTTTGATCCTTTTCTATTCTCATGCAAAAATTGGTAATCATTTGCCCAAAGAATGGTGGGAAGGAATATCATCATTGTTCGTGCTCCCCAGAAATATGCTACTCATTTATCAGAGATTCATTTCAGATCTTCATTGATATTCATAACAACTTGTTGAACAAGCGTCAAATCAAACGGTCGATAGGTGAGTGAAGACGTAAAATTATCTCTTTAACTTCTCCATTGAATCTTCCAAAGTTCTTCACGTGAAAAGGAAAACACAGAGTTTCATGCAATTCGTTAGGTAAGTGTATACGTTTATTTGCTCTCGTAATAACTAACACAGTACCGCTTTAACTTCCACTTTCGTTCCCGAGTTAGTTCGTCCTCCGTGTACTCCTTGATAAACAAAATTATCAGTGTTAGGAAACTTCATGCTCACATACTTTATTTGATATAGTAGATGAAATTAAAGGCAGCCAGAGGCTGATGTGGACCTACTGTCTACGGAATTAAACTAAAACTATCTAGGTGTACTATTATTAAATTGGATCAAAATGAAACACCAAAAATATTTGAAATCTTGATTCTTAAATTAAAGGCAGCCAGAGGCTGTGGGCCTATTTGTCTACGGACTAAACTACGGACTATTCAGCTAAAGCTATCTAGGTACACTATTATCAAATTGGATCAAAATTACAATGCTAAAAATGTTTAAAATCTTGATTCTTATGGGATCAAAATTACAATACTAAAAATATTTACAAGATCTTGATTCTTATGGGAGATCATACATGTTTCTTTGAGCTGCAACATAAGCTCTAAGCTGCAATATAAACTCTAAAGAGCCGGGGAATAGTCTTGCACAATTATATTCGTACAAATGTTCGGCTGTATAACGTTGAAAACCACAAGCACGTGCTGCTCGTGGAGAGCTTTGACTCTTTCTGGTCGACTCTCGGCCTGAAGACGCTACGTACATTTCCTCGGCATGAATCATTGTATTGTGCCGTCCAAGTTTTGGAATTGGGGGAATGACTCAAAACTTATCTTTGATTTAATAGATTTTTTGTTGACAATTTCCGGAAAGATTTCTGTATAAAACACTTACTATTCTACATATAGCCCCAGTCCCAAGGGAAGTCTATTGTTTTCGCCCTTTTTTCTTATCCAAGAACTTTCTATATGATGAAGTACGGGGCTTTGCCGAAATCTTGCCAAATCAACAACAAGCCCATTACATTTTTTCTCATCGGGGACATTCCGTATTATCCAAAAATATTGCAGCTGGTCTATGGATAACTCACATCTAGTTCTTATTGTCAGTATCTTTTCCTTTTGCTTCTCTTCCAACTAGCACATTTTCTTTTAGAGAAGAAAAATGGCCGAGCGGAAGTATTGACGAAGGATTCCTCCGACGAAGGATTAAAAAAATCAAGTCAGTTGGTGAGTTTATTCGAGCACTTTTTCAATTACCCTTTTGTGAAAGAAAATATAATTTCACATCTTTTTAACTTTCTACATCCATATACTGACCTCGAAAAGAATAAAAACGTGACTGAAACGTTGTAAAATATAAAAGAAGTTCTAAGAAGAATTTATGGTGGTTTGCATGTGCTTCCCTTGCTACTTAACAATACTGTTCTTTCCTTCAGAGAAAAATAGTACCTTCAGACTTGCCTAACAGCATATGTAAAATGCAACCATTTTCATCTTTTATGATCCTCATAAGAAGCTGGAAAGTTTACTTTCTTATCAGTCTGATTAGATGTTTTAACGTAGTCAGATCTCGAAGATTTTTTAAAAACGGGTTACTAAAAAAAGGTTCTTATTTTATCAACTACAGGAGGAAATAATGGTCGAAAGAACGAGGCAGAGCAGAGCAAAGCCGAGTCTTGGGAAACGTTGGAGGGTTATTGGAGCCAAAGACGGCGAAAGATAAGAGCAATAGTTTAAGTTTTAATCCAAATGTTGGCATCATTGTGTTTTGAGACTCAAGAAACTTGCATCATGATATTGCAGAAGAATTTATCGTTTGACCCTGGCTTTTCATCGAGATTGATTCGCCGCAAACTCTGATTGAGCGCTTTTCGATCGAGTGTCAAATGACCAAGGCCATGGTACTTTCAACGGCTGATTAAATTATAGGGTATGAAAAATTAAAGCAGAAAAAAGGAAATTGCCTGAGGCCCGGTTACTTGCAAGTGGCCATTAATTAGCTTTATGTTGGATTGGTCGGGAGGTTAGATTAATTATATTCTCCTTATCAACCTGTCGCCAGACAATTTATAATGATGCACTTTGAACGGTTCTTGATGCATAAATGTCACTAAAGAGCCGAAAAAGCGATTTTTCTAAGGAATTCTCGACATTCGAAAGAAATTTACACTTTTAAACAAATGTGAAACACAAGGGTGATGAATTGACGTCTCACTAATCGGATAAAGTGCGCCGAATTGACCAAAGTGGTGAAAACGTCCAAAACATTGAAAAATTATGAATTAAAGATGATTGATATCATAGAAAATCGCTTTTTCTTTTAAGCTCTTACTTAACTATAACTATTTCTTGTGTTTCTCTGTCATTCAGGAACATGCAATTTTTTTAATGTGGCAGCGCATTTTTTTTATTGCGCTTTAACTATCCTTTCAAGTCTTACAAAAGTTTAATTTCATCAATAAAGTTGCCCATACAATTCTTTTAAGGACTTGATAGATATAAAAGAAACACAGCTGCATTTAAAAACGCTCGGACCTCTCTTGCTTGAACTTATTCTTTTAAAAATATTACAATGATTTGCAACCTAGAAATAACGTACATTTGAATCGCGAACGCCACCTTCAGGTCCATGTTACTGTAATCATTAGAGAGTAAATACAAACCAGGGTTCTCCATGAATTATATATCGACCTGAGGTTGATTTTTCTACATTGGTTTGCTCATTCCAATACAAGGAAATGCGAGTTCTCCTATGTACAACATGGTGAACTCTTAACTTTTCTTAAATAAGTATTAGTCAATATCTGGCTGACAAATAATGGTTCTGAAAAATGTGTCATTGAAACGATCGATTGGCAAGGATCTTTTGAGCTTAAAAGATCGATACAAGGTGGGGAATTTGTGGACATTCACAAAAGATAAATACAAGAAACAAAATTGTTTTTTCCCTAAAAGTCAAATTCTTAAAAATATTAATTTGATTCCTGTTAAACATTGAAGCGTCTTGCTTTTTTAAATTTTTTACTCTAAACTGATCTTCGAGTCTCGATGATTGTTTTCTTTTGTGATGGTGAGGGGCCAATGTGACAAAATACACCAGAACAATTAAGCTACAAGCCAAGGAACAGTGATTATATATTGCTATAATGTGTGAAACAGAAGGTTAGGTAAATTTATAAGATTAATTTCACTTTACACATTTCAAGTATCGGTAATTGTCAAAATTTTATAAAAAAAAAGGTTCAAACTAGAATACACTGAAACGTTTCCTATTAAAAAGAAACAGAGCTATTCATACATTTTTGAATACCAATCGATTCACAAATTTAAAAGGAACGACTTGATTGATAAGTCAAGGTAGTTCAAGGGAACTATGCAAAGAAATCTACATAAACTATACCAATAGGTTCTGAAAGCCATCAATTTCTATAGTGCATGTCAAAATTGAGGCTAAAAACTTATCGTTTGCTTTTTTTGTTCACACGGAAGCACTTGACTTTCTTTAAATTTCTCTCTCAATCCTATAAAACTTGGGGTCCGCAAATTTACTTCTTGTTCGCCGGATTGATTACATGCGTAACCGCGAATAAAAAATCTAGGTGGGACCAGATATTGATTTGTGACTACTTTTGGTTGCTAAGGGAGCGAGAGAACAGAGTGCATTATTAAAGCTTACTAAGTAAACGTGTGATACAAATGCTTAATAAGAAATAGCCCATAGAGGTTGAAAATCATGGGACAAATGAAAATTCCAGTAAAAGGACTTAGACCAAATCAATCAGACCACAACTTTAGGGTGTAAATACAGACAAAATTGAAATTGCAGGCTCTATGTAAACTTTTAAATTCAATTGACTTAATGCTAACTGGAACAATTCATTATGGTCATCTATCTTGGTAAATAGCTTGCAATTTTTGCCTTTTTCTTCTTCTACTCCAGAAAGGTTTGCATCGTCTCGCACAAAAACACTGGTACCATATTTGAGTAATGGTCTTCTAAATTGGATGGTTTATGTGAATCTAGCCCCGAAAAGTGAGATAAATGATTCAAAACAAAATTTAAGATGGTTTTTTTGTGAGACGATGTGACCTTTTTCTGGCGGGATTTGTATTTTAAACCGAGGTTAGAAGTTTTTTCTTAAGAAAAGCTTTCGACGGGCAACCTCTTTGATCTTTTTAGCCTGAATAATTGTCAGTGAAAACTGTGCAAATCGCTTCAAATTTTCCCGCCAAAAGTCTTAGTATATATTCGAAGTATTTTTCTTCACTTAAGAAAAGAGACTTGTCGAGAGAGTTAACAATTAAAGAGTGTAATAAAATGCAAGAACTTGATTATTTTAATAAAAAAACGCCACGAGAGAACACAATGGAAAAACTGCTTTATTTTCACTTATATGATATATACAACTTACTTGTTTGAAATATCCCTAATAAAAAAAAAAAAAAAAACGGCGCATGCGTATTTAAAGCGCCCCATCTTTTCTTAGTCTTTTGGCGGGAAAATTAAAACATTCTTGAACAGATGTTACAGAGAAGCAATTAGCAAACTAACCAGCGCATGCGTAGTTTTAGCGCCTGTATTTTTGGTGGGAAAATTAAAAATTTTAAGCCTCAGCAAAATAATTCTGAACTTTGACTTATAAAGATTTTCAAGGCAGAACGACCAAAAAAGGTGTGCAAGAAATTCCTACCATGCTCCGCATATAGTAAAAATATATGATCTTGAGATAATTGTGCTTGATACATTAAAGCAGAATGTTTCCATTTTCTAACGCTCCAGCCAAACTCCAAAATTTGATGCGTAAAACGCCAAAATTGCCAGAGTCAATAACAAAGTGTCCACCTTGGCTAGAAGTTTGTTGCTTTGTGTGCTTCTGCGGATCCTCTGACCTCAGTTGAGATTTCTTTTAATGTCATCACATCAGGGGACCTGAAATAAACAAAGTCAGGAGTCCATCACTGTGATGGGCTCCTGACAAAGACAATTAATAAACAAATTCCAAAAGTAACAGCGGCAACCTTTTTTTTTTAACATTGTCTTTGTACCACGATAGCTGGCTATAGAAAAAGACTTGAGTATTTGTGCAGCAAATGTCGGATATCCCAGCTACTTCTATTCTTAACGCCGGTTAAGAAATATGCTATAAGTATCTTCGAACATTATCGGATACGACCATAACTACCATAACCTTGAAAAAACTAAGATCCATGACCATTTAACCTTTTGATCCCCGAGACTGGCCAGCATCTTAGTTTTCTTGCACTATTGCCCCTGAATCGTACATTAAGGTCAAGAGAATAAAGGAAATTATCACGAAGTAAAGAAGCTCTCGATTGTCAAACAAATTCTCCTTGTCATCACCTTAGGAAATGTATAGAGAACAGTATGGAGAATATACATACTCCAGTTAGGGTTGATAATCAAGACGCAACATAATCAAGACACAAACTTGATTTGTGCCACCTCTGCCGTTGTTGGCACAGCAACACATCTAGTTATGCAGTGTGGAGCGGCACAAACACAAGGGAATTTCAAGTGAAACTTTACACTTGTCTCTGTTCCTACTGCATCGTAAAAATTCGCGCCGTGATCTTAATAAAAAGTTTTCAATTGGTACACGAACAAACAACAATTGACACAACTTGACTGAAAAGAATGCTACGCTGAGTCGTTCACTGAGAGCTTTTGCAATAAAGAATAAGACAGTGCTTCTTGGAAAAAAAATCCAATACGCAACTTGAACAAAATTGAATGATGATCATCATCACGTCTTAAGATCAACTTTAGATAAACGCGCGACTAAACGGGGCAGCGTTAACCATGTATTATCATAAGCTTAAAATAAGACCAAATTTGCACAGCTAATTTACATAAAAACGCCCGGCAGCTAAATAACGGTAATAGGGCTGGAGTGGAGTCTGTCTAATTCATAATGGCAATAGAACCGAGTGTAGTCCAATTCGGTCTGTAGTCATAGAAGTGATTACAAAATCGGACAAGCGCGAAATACATTTATGAGAAAGAATATCTCCGTTAGAGACATTGTCTTCAGTAAAAAAATTCCTCCGCCTAGGAAATTATCCAGTTTTGTAGGGTAAGTGGCTGTTGCTATGGTTATTGTGATCAATTCTGTGATTGGGGGATTTAGCTAGGAAGGTTTAGTTGATTTGCTGCTCCAACTGTCGATTACAGGTGTCCGATTACAACCAACCGTCCGATTCAACTGTCCGACTGAAAACTCTAAACGGTATAATTAATGAAAAATAGAGCAGGTAATGCATCAGTCACATTTGAGGAAATTGCAATGGTCATATGAGTTATTAACCGCGTATGATTACTGACTAAATTGGACGATTGGAAGTTCTGTTACCAATCGATTGTAACCCTTACAATTTTACAAGTTAATTAAATTTATACATTGAAAGAAGGACTTTTAATTCCGATCTTTTTAACTTAGCATTCACTTTACAAACGCCACAAATACTCACTGAGAAGCTCTAGAAACAACTTCCTATATTTTGGGAAAACACAACTTGGAATGGTTTGCCATTGCTATAGTTACTGTAATCAACTGGTGGATTCATTTAAGTATATTCAATCTGATTGGCTGATCAAACTGTCCGATTACATGTGTCTTAATACCACTCCTCAGAATCATTAGCGAAAATAAGGCAATTTATCCAAGAGACACCTGCGAGGAAATTACGATGGTTATAATTAAGGGGACAATTACTGGGGAGACCTCGACTCGTTTTTTTTCACTTCTCGGCTTGAAGCCCTAAATATTATTTATCACTAGTATTATCAAGCCCCCCTATCATTTTAGTCTTAGTTTTTTTTTTTTTTCTTGGTTTAATGTTATTATGTACTTTTTTTTCTACCTCTGGGGTGAAATAAAGTTATTTGTTATTGTTGTTGTTGTTGTTGTAGAGCTCACTCGGTCAATGTGCTCAGCAAAAACAATCTGAGCAAACTGTTTTACTTTAATGTACATAACTATGTTTCGTTCACGTGCCCTTCTCTGGAAATCAGCGCCATCAAATTTTATATTACTCAATAGTTTTCACAAAAATTGGCAAATTTTTTTCTTAAGAGAAAATATTTTCTATCAGTAAAACACATTTTGACCCCGGATAGATGGTGACTTATCTATGATATGTTTTCGACAGAAAAGGAATCTTTTTAACTCTTTTGTTCCCTTCAACGTAATTTCCTGCTTGGGAAGGGTTCTTGTCGGTAAATTAGACGTAAAAATATATAAGAAATTCTAGGTGCGACATTTTTTCCTGCCGTTTTTTTATTCTTTCTGCGTGTTTGAAGTTCATTTATTTAAGTCTTTTTCACTCTGTCATTATACTGATTGTTTCATTAGCGCATTCCTTTGTCATTTCGTTGCCGCCTTGTCGCTGCCTTTTAGTTGCTTGCATAATTTATGGATGTACTATGCCTGTTTTCTCGTTTTTCGCGTCAAGCGCCGTTTAGTAACCGTCCGTAATGCAGTCCCGTCAATAATCTCAGTTGGTCTTTGCAATGGCCTTAACAATGTAAGTGGACTCTGTAGTCCTCTCTCCGTGGTGTTGTTCGTCATTATGTCGTGTAAATATAATTGTTTGTTATTTTCATTAGTTTCAACGTAAGTCAGCTAAGCCGAAATAAAGTGTATTGTGTTTATCTACGAGACGTGGAGTTGTCTATTTCCAAGCCACAGATTTTGCATAGTTGCAGTTTCACCCCTCATGCAATTAACAAATGGTAAACACCACAGCGTACACTATTGAGTTATGGATGCACGCGGGAGGTTGCTAAGCACGAAAGAAGCGTAAGAGTCGCTCGAGGCGATAGCCGAGAGCGACTCTAGCTTCTTGAGTGCTTAGCAAACCTCCCAAGTGCATCCATAACTCAATAGTGTACGCTGTGGTGTTTACCATTTGTTTTATAACATAACATTGATACATTGTAGCTAAAGAGTTCCCTTTTATTTAACAAATCTTACGCGACCAGAAAAAACAAGCGCGCGCGAAAAAGTAGCCTTTGCATTTGCTCACGTCAGCAGCGTACACCCATGGGCAAATGGGGGACGCTAAATTGACCAATCAGAGCGCGCGCTTTACTTTGGTTATGTTATAAAATAATTTCATGCATGTTTTTGCTTGGCAGCTCTATCTGCCCAGCTGTCAAGGCACCACTACCATCATCAATTACTGCCTCTGTTTAAGAATCGTTATACCTTTTTTATAGAGAGTTTGAAGTTTCTTTGCGATGATTCCATTTAGCCTTGGTTTTCTTACACTACCCCACAATCTTTTTGTCAGACTATTAAAATATGCAAGTAAAACCTGAAACTCACCAAAAAAAATGTTGTTCTCGATAAGTCCAGTCAATATCTTTCACTAAAGACTCACGATAAAGCTTCCTCTCCTCTTATCGATTTGTTCCACTTGTTTGTAAAGAAATGAAGACAGTTAATATTGTATTAGCTCCTGGGCCGATTGTTAAGTATGAAATAGTAAAAGAATACCGTAAAGAAAGCTGAGATAAGCCAAATGCTTATTTTGTCAATGCTTTTCTTCTCGTTCGTGTTTTTTCCCATGGTGTTTGATATCCTAATATTCTTAAAAGTTTAATTTTTGCTGCAACAAGTGCGTTCTCAATAAGTTTTTTTTTTTTAATTCTTCGCCCACTCTTGAATGACCCGTGCCGGTTTTATGAGAATTTCTCTGCTCAGTGACATTTGAAACATTTCTTTACATTCCGGTGATTCTTCTCTCCTTCACCCAGAGCCCGATTCGTTTCTATTTTAAGGTGTATTAGTACAGCCATTATAATAGAAGCACATGGTGATATCTCATAGAAAGGCAGACAGCGAGGCCTAGATAAAAAGATCGACAAATCGATGACGTAGCCACCTCAAATATAACAGAACTGCTTCTATCCCAATTTAATTAGCATTATGCGTGCGAAAGAACTTTTGAGGGAAGTCCAAGAAATTGCCGGACTCCTAAATGTAAACTTAGAAGGTCAGTATCGAGAGAGCAGCTGTCATAAAAAAAAGATCATTGTATATATAGTATGTGATGAGAATTTCAATTTCGTATGCCTCGTATTAAAAATAAATATTGATTCAAATCTTTAAGAGAAAAATTTACAATGTTTCTTGGAAGTTTGATGAGGTCAAATCCTGTTAGACAAGGGCTGTGTTTGGATGTTTCCCCTCAAATTATTTCAATCCGTAGTTTTAGACTTACCGACAGAATTATATCAAATTCAGGGTGCTGTAGCCTTCTATAAATCTGAAAAGCTTCACTTCAAGTCGGAAAACTAAGTTCAAAAGTCGAATTTCATTTGGCTTTTCCCTGCTGCAGTTTTTCTTGCGATCAATTAAGTTCAGCTTTTTGGACAGGGCCCGTACCTGGAAGGTTGACGGCAGATAATTTCTGAGTTGTGAATATTTTCTCAAGTTTATTCGTGCCAAAATTTCAACACAAATCGAAATTTAGTCTTAACTGGTTGGCCATAACCTTTTCAAAATTCAGTTTTGGATAGTTGAACTCACGTCTCGGAAAGAGTACCATATAACCCCAACATTAATTATGCATTCTACTTCTTTGTCTTTCACGACAAAACTTTGAAAACAAAGTCTACTAGTCTGAATGCATAATTAATGTATGGGGTTATATGGTACTCTTGCCCACGTCTACATTCGAGTTCTCAAAACTTATTTCACGACACTGAGGTCAAATTGTTTTTCAGTGTGTCAAATCGTAAATCGGAGGCATTTAAAATGTACGAATTGAGATTCGCATGTTTTTGTTTCCACAAATTGTCTGCAAAGTTAAATGCTTTATGATTTTCTTTCTCAGCTACCATTTTTAACAAGGGTCTATCTGATTTATTTTTAACAAGGGTCTATCAAGAGTTCTTTTGTTGAC